ATGCAAGACTAATTTTTTTTAATATTTGAGACGGGGTCTCCCTATGTTATTCAGGCTGGTCTTAAACTCCTGGCTCAAGTGATCCTCCCATGGTGGCCTCCCAGAGTGTTGGGATTATAGGCATGAGCCACTGCACCTGCCCAGCTCCTAAATCCCTGCCATTTTTGTTTTTTTGAGACAGAGTCTCACTCTGTCACCCAGGTTGGAGTGCAGTGGCATGATCTCAGCCCACTGCAGTTTCTGCCCCCTGGATTCAAGCGATTCTCCTGCCTCAGCCTCCTGAGTAGCTGGGATTACAGGTATGCACCACCACACCCAGATAATTTTTGTGTTTTTAGTAGAAACAGGGTTTCAGCACGTTGGTCAGGCTGATCTCAAACTCCTGACCTTGTGATCTGCCAACCTCGGCCTCCCGAAGTGATGAGATTACAGGTTTAAGCCACTGCACCTGGCCCTCCCTGATGTATTTTAAGAGACAGAGTTTCACTCTGTCACCAAGGCCTGGGATGCAGTGATGTGATCATAGCTCACTGTAACCTCAAACTCTGGTGCTCAGTCAATTCTCCCACCAGCCTCCTCTTTATTTTTTGTACAGATGGGGTCTTGCTATGTTGCCCACGAGCAATCCTCCCGCCTTGGCCTCCCAAAGTACTGGGATTGCAGGCTTGAGCTGCTGTGCCCAGCCTCCATGTTTTAGTATCTGCTCTCACTCCTGAATTCAGTTGCTTTGCCCAAGATAGGAGCTCTTCAATGCTGAAATTATTGGGCCCTTTTAGGGTAAGAAGCTTGTGTCTTCATCTGGCCACATCTTGACTGGGTATCATCTACTCAAGATCTTTGATGGCTTCCCTCTTTCATCTCCTGAGTATGTAACTTGCAATGGGCATCGATCCAGTGACTTGTTCTGATGTGTTCGTCAAAGTTTATTTAGCACTGAAACAAGAGTAATATACTCCCAGACTTAGACTAGTGCCTGAAGTGCTGTAGCCAAAGACAGAGTGGAACTATGAAAAGTGGGTGTGGAGATGGCAGGAAAGCTTGTAATTGAGCCTGTCAATTTAACAAACTGATGCTGAGGATGACTGAGGTAGGTCTACTTCATTTCTGAAAATTCTGGAGAGAATGGAGGAATCTCAATGTGTGTTTCTGACACAGGATCCGTGCTTTGTACTCAAAGCCCAGAACCCCCAAGTGCCTGCTTTTGATGATGTCTACAGAAAATGCTGGCTGATGGAACACATTTGCCCAATTCCAAATGTGCACAGAAAACTGGGAATATTTAAAATTCCAATTGTTTCTCTTAGGAGCAAGAAGAAAATGTGGCCCTAAAGGGGATTAATCGAGGGGTGGGGGATGAGGGTGGAGAAGATGTTGAATTGGATCTTTTTTTAATTTAAATGTGAGTTTCCACTTTTGACAATCAAAGGAAAGACTTGTTGAAACAGCTTTACTGTTTCTCAAGTGTTCTGGAGAAGAAAATCAACCCTGCAATCACTTTTTGGAATTGTCTTAATTTTTCTGCAGTTCAAGCTGTATCGAATGTAGTTGTATGTAGAGAATGTCACTGTAGTCTTGAGTTTGTATGTGTGTGGGTACTGATATTTTCTTTGGGGGTGGAAAAGGAAAACCAAGCTGAAAATTATTCATAAAGATGAATTTTTATAAATTTTATTAAAGAATTTTGTTAAACCATTGTCGAACTTGTTTGATTCCACCACATTTCCAGGCAAGAGAAAAGATGGATGGAGATAACCTCAGCCAAATATGGAGAAAGGCCGGACACGGTGGCTCATGCCTGTGATCTCAGCATTTTGGGAGGCCGAGGCAGGTGGATCACTTGGGCTCAGGAGTTGGAGAGCAATCTGGGCGATGTGGTGAAACACCATCTCTACAAAAACTAGCTGGGTGTGGTGGCACGAACCTACTTGGGAGGCTGAGGCATGAGAATCACTTGAACCCGGGAGGCAGAGGTTGCAGTGAACCGAGAGCATGCCACTGCGCTCCAGCCTGGGCAACAGAGTGAGACTCAGTCTCAAAACAAAAACAAAAAAATGGAGAAAGAAGCTTCATGCTGAAATAACTTATCCAGAAGTTTCTATCATTATACTGGGGGCAACATAGGAGAAACTACATTCACATGGTAACCTAAATAAATAGGAGAAACTAAATTCACATGGATTTGAACAGTATCCATCCACGTGACATGTTGAAACCAATAAAACTCCCATGTCCACAGGAGACTATGTGGGCCCAGCTGAAGGACAGGACAGAGCCAATTTTCAAACAACATTCTCGGAGTCAGCAAGTGAGTACAGGCCAGTGGTTCTCTGAATGTGGCCCCTTCCCCATGGGACATTTGGCAATTTCTGGAGTACCTGGGGAGCTGTTGTCACGTCAAGGCTGGGCATGCTGCTAAACATCCCTGCACAACACAGTTCCCCACAACAAAGAATGACCCATCGCAAATGTCAGCCACTGTTAAGAAACGCTGGTGTAAGCCTAAAACTTTTCTCTGTTGAAGAGGTATGACTTTTCTTTGGGTAATTTTTTAGTGTGGTAAAATACCACATACAATTTACCATTTTAGCCTTTTTTTTTTCTTTTTTGAGATAGAGTCTCACTTTGTCACCCAGGCTGGGGTGTAGTGGCACAATCACTGCAGCCTCAATCTCCCAGGCACAAACAATCCTCCTGTCTCAGCCTCCCTAGTAGCTGGGACTACAGGTGTGCACCATTACACCCAGCTAATTAAAAAAAATTTTTTGTAGAGACAGGGATCTCGCTATGATGCCAAGCCTGGTCTTGAACTCCTGGACTCAGGTGATCTGTCCTCCTTGGCCTCCCAAAGTACTGGAATTACAGAAGTGAGCCACCACGTTGGCCTCATTTTAGCCATTTTTAAGTATACAGTTCAATGACATTCAGTATATTCACATTGTGTTGCAACTGTCACCACTATCCATCTTCAGAACTTTTTCATCATCCCAGACTGAAACTATGTACCCAGTTATTTTAACTGATTTTAAGTGTACAATTCAGTGGTATTAAGTACATTCAAAATGTATAACCATCAGCTCTGGTTTTAGAACTTTTTCATCGATCTAAATAAATGTTGTATCTAGTGGGCAATAACTTTCCATTCCTGCCTGCCCCCATCCCCTCATCTCATTATATTCTCTTCACATAAGTAGGCCCCTTTTTGAATCTGGCTTCTTTTTTCTGAGAGAGTCTCACATTGTCATCCAGGCTGTAGTGAAGTGGTGTGATCTTGGCTCACTGCAATCTCCGCCTCTTGGGTTCAAGCAATTCTTCTGCCTTAGCCTCCCAATAGGGGAGACTACGGGCGTGCACCACCACACCCAGCTAATTTTTTTTTTTTTTTTGGATTTTTAGTGGACATGGAGTTTTACCATGTTGGCCAGGATGGTCTTGATCTCCCGAACTTGTGATCTGCCCTCCTTGGCCTCCCAAAGTGCTGTGCTGGGATTACAGGCGTGAGCCACCGTGCCCAGCCTTTTTTTTTCTTTTCTTTTTTTTTTAAAGACAAGGTCCTGCTCTGTTCCTCATGCTAAAGTGCAGCGGTGCAATCTCGGCTCACTGCAACTTCCCAGGTTCAAACAATTCTCCCGCCTCAGTCTCCTGAGTAGCTGGGATTACGGTGTGTACACTATGCCTGGGTAAATTCTGTGTTTTTAGTACAGACAGAATTTCACCATGTTGGCCAGGCTGGTCTCAAACTCCTGACCTCAAGTGATCCACCCACGTTGGCCTCCCAAATTGCTGGGATTACAGGCGTGAGCCACTGCACCTGGCCGGCAGTGAAAATTAAAAAGATATTTTGGGGAAAATTGGGGCTTTGATATGTATTACACTTTCCCGAATGAATATTTAATTTTCCTGGGTGTAATATTGGTAATCTGGCTCTCTCAAAGAATTCTTTATTAGAGACAGAGTTTCATCATGTTACGAAACCAGGTGCCAGGTCTTGAACTCCTGGGCTCACACACTCCACCCACCTTGGCCTCCCACAGTCCTGGGATTACAGGCATGAGCCACCTCGCCCAGCCCCAACTTTTAATTTCCAGTCTCTTGTTAATTAAGAAGAAAACGCCTTCCCAGTTATTATCAGAAACTATTAGGCCGGGCACAGTGGATCACTTAAGGTCAGGAGGCTGAGGCAGGTGGATCACTTAAGATCAGGAGTTGGAGACCAGCCTGGACAACATGGTGAAACCCTGTCTCTACTAAAAATACAAAAATTAGCTGGGCGTGGTATGTGTGCCTGTAATCCAAGTTACTCAAGAGGCTGAGGCAAGAGAATTGCTTGAAGCTGGGAGGTGGAATTTGCAGTAAGCTGACATCGCTCCAGCCTGGGCAACAAGAGTGAGACTCCATCTCAAAAAAAATAAAAACTGGCCGGGCGCGGTGGCTCACGCCTGTAATCCCAGCACTTTGGGAGGCCGAGGCGGGTGGATCACGAGGTCAAGAGATCAAGACCATCCTGGTCAACATGGTGAAACCCCGTCTCTACTAAAAATACAAAAAATCAGCTGGGCATGGTGGCGCGTGCCTGTAATCCCAGCTACTCAGGAGGCTGAGACAGGAGAATTGCCTGAACCCAGGAGGCGGAGGTTGCGGTGAGCCGAAAAATAAAAAAATAAATAAAAAATAAAAATAAAAACTATTAGCTTACCCTATTTATTATCCAGCAAACTACAGAAAGGATAGAGTGCAACATGAGCAGTATGGAGTCTTTTTTTTTTTTTTTTTTTTTGAGACGGAGTCTCGCTCTTGTTACCCAGGCTGGAGTGCAATGGCGCGATC